CTCCAGCCCAGGGGCCCCCATCCTGACTCCAGCCCAGGGGCCCCCATCCTCCTAAATTCGGCCCTGGTATTTGTTTTTTAATCATTTGACATGAGAATTATTGTGTGAAAGTTTATGAAGCATTCACTCTATTGTGATCCATTTTTCTTTTGTATGTTTTTCGGTGCGATTCTGGTCCCTCATTTTTAAAGCTATTTCAACAAATCATATATCAAAATGTTCAGCTCTTTCAGAACCGGTCCGGTGCTATGACTTTTGGTACTGCTGCAACTTTAGGTTTTTATTATTTTTTTATTTAGCCTTTTCTGCCATTTTTCCCTCATAGAAAATGAATTGATTCATTTTACATCCTCCTTTAGATCTGTTTACAACCTGTTACTGCTCCTTTCACATTTTGTTCTGTTTCAGCTTCTTTCAGCTTCCTTGCACAAATGTAAACATTTTTTCAGCTGCCTTCAGCTGTTTTGTTCTCCTTTCAGGTTCTTTCTGCTAACTACAGTTTTATGCTTCTTCTAACTTCTTTCTGCTAACTTCAGCTTGTTATGCTCCTTTCAGTTAATTTATGCACGCTTCAGCTTTTCTGCAATTTAAGATTTTTAGCTAATTCCACATTTATTGCACTCATTTCAACTTTTTTTTTTTAGCCTAAATCAGCCTGGGTACTCCGGTTTCCTCTCACAGAACAAAAACATGTAGGTGGCCTTCAGGCCCAGGCCTCCCTTGCAAAAGACCTGTGATCTCAGTGGGATTTACCTGGTTAAATAAAGGTTAAGAATTAAATAAAGGTTAATAAATTCAGCAAAAACATGCTCTCTCCTCTTTCTTCTTGTAATTTCAGCATCTTTCTGCCTTTTTAGCTACTTTCAGCTGTTTTTGTTTCTAATTTAAGCTTTTTTTCAGATGTTATCGTATCTTGGTGCAATGACAATAAAATTTATTCTGATTTCAACTTTTCATATTTCAGCTATTTTTGTTCTAAATTTTGCTTTTTCCAACTAATCCCCCCCCCCTTTTTTTTTTTTTTTTTAGCTCATTTTATCTTCCATTTCCTTTAGGTAGTTTAAGCTTTTTCAGCCTTTTTGTTTTTGTTGCCAATTTCAGTTTTTATAGTTAATTTCCTAATTTTTGTGTTCAGTTCTGCTAATTTAAACCTAATTCAGCAAATATGTTTTTTTCTGCTTTTGGTAAATTAGGCTTGTTCTTTCATTTCAGCTACATTTCAGTTTGTTTGTTTGTATTTTTTATCTAATTTCAGCAGTTTCTCTGCAATAAGCCTTCACACTGCATTTTCACAAGAAATGCAGTTTGTCTAGTTGGTTTTACATCTCACTCATTGGATGATGCTGCTGTTAAGTAAAATTTGTTAAATTATTGTACTATAGTTGTTTTAACAAACTCAACATTTTTTCTACATTTACCTGCATTTTCCTTTTGAGTTTAGACATTTTTCAAAGTTCCACACGAGACCTGCGGTGACTGAGACGAGGTCAGTGAGTGAACGGTGAGCATCCATCCTGCGTCTCCCTGCCCCACACACTGAGGACACTGTTCTCAAACTGGTACTTTCTGCTCCATTGTTCCTGCACTCGCTCATTAGTGGATGCTCATGGAAAACAAACTGGTGCAGCAGCAAGTGAGTTTGCGGAGCCTCTGGGTGCAAAATCAATCCCAAGTCTCCGTCTTCAGTTCGCAGCTCCGATCCTTGATGTTCATTCGTTCATTCAACCTGACGTCACAAAAGATAAAAAAATTAAGACGACTTCAATGTGTGGACATGTTTACAGAATGGTGTTTTTTCATGTCGCAAACCAGTCTGTTTAGAGCACGGCCATTCATCTAAACTGGTCAGGGGGCCACAGTTACTGAAAGCCAAGAGCTCAGGGGCCGTTAATGTCATTAAGTTTGTTTTATGGTTTAAAATCTACTTTTATTTAAACATAAACCCATTGGTGGGCGCAAATGAGTTCACGTGGGCCTGATTCAGCCCCCAGTTGAAAAGCCCTAGTTTAGTGTGTAGAAAATGTGCACTTTATTTTGAAAGTTCTGAGAGGATTATTTAATGCTGTGGGATGGCCGTCAGGTGGTAATCTGACCAAAACAAATGTATCTTATATAATCTGAACACAGCTTTGCCCCCTTCATTATCTCCAGTGAGCTGATTTCCTCAATTACATCTGGACTTTTTGTCCTGAAATATTAAACATTTCAGTTTAAAACGACAAATCGGAAGTAACAACTTTTTGTTTTTAAAAAGCTATAAAACTAACATAAAATTAATTTGCCCCCAAACACACTAATTAATTAAACGATTTGTTCAAATGCTGTTTCTGTCAGAGGGTAAACACTCCCATCTGGTGGCTGAACTCAGTGCATCAAACATCCCATAAAACCACTGCAAACAAAAATCAAGTAAAATACAGACCAGTATTTTATCACTAAAGAATGAAGGAAAAGGAAATAAACAGTGTAACACGGACGGCAAATTCTGTGTTATATTTTATTGTTTAAAAAAATATTATCTTCACTAATTTTAGTGTTTTGTTTTCCCGTCGACAGGATTATGGGTTGAATATAAAATAATTCACCTCCTAAATGAGCTGAAGGATCAGAAGGTCAGTTGTACAAGCAGGCACAGTTTCTGTTCTCCAGTCTTAACCCAACACAAACACTGTGGACTTTATGACAAAACTGTGAAACAAATAAATATCTGGACAAAGTCTTTCACGGATGCAAATTTAAACTGCAGAGATTTGCTGATTCATCATAAATTTCTGCTTCCTTCAGCCCTGTCAAACCGAAACAGGAAGTGGAACATGAGTTTACTGCAGCAGCTGCATTTATAGCCTCAGTAAATCTGTGATTCACAGACGTTTGACTGCAGCTCTCTGTCCTTTACAAACGTTGATCTTGAAGATAAAGATCCACTTCTGTGACAAATAAGATTAGAAATTATGGTTCAGCAGATGCAACGAGGAGAATAAAGGTTTTACCTCGAAGTGTTCTGTATTGCCTCGTTGATGCAGAAAACGTGTGTATTTGTACACTGAAACAGGGAGTGGGCCACTTTACATTCAAGGGTTTTACCTGAACAAACAAGAAGTGCTGCACTAGTTTCTCAGTAAGAAAAACAGCTTAGCCTCAAAAACTAAGCTTAAAATAAACCAAAAGCAGCAAAATGTCAATTTTACTGACTGATCCTAAAGCAGCAGACTAATCAGCAAACAAAAACTTTGCAAGGAAGACAAGTTTTTTGGTTTTTTTTGGTAACTAAGAGCTGCATTTTTCTCCTTTGCTTTGCAGGAACAGTGTAAACAAATAAGATCTAAATCATTAACAACTGATTTGATAGATTTTCTTTTACAAAGATTTACAACATTCTCTTTTGCGTTCAGATGTTTCCTTCTTATAGATTAGATGATCTGAAACACACTTTGGTTCTGCAAACCAAAGTATAACCGAGTGAAAAACGTACCCGTGACAAACATTTGCACCGTAAAAAAACAAGAAAATCACATCCAAAGAAAACGTGAATGAAAGTCATCTGGAGTCATAACATCTGTAAAGAGTAACACTTGTAGAAACACAAGCATGTTGTCAAACTCTGACGTGAAAACTGTCCAGAGTTCTGATGTAGCAGTGCAGCAACGACCCCACTCTTTGATTCCAATGAAGATCATTTCAGCCCTAAAGTCTCCTTCCTGAGCCAGAACATGAAGCCTCAGCCCAGAAAAAACATGAGTCCCGCCATGATGCTGAAGCCCACCAGGATGAAGAGCACCTTGAGGAGCTGGTTCCCAGCAGCGTTGAGCTCGTGCGGGAGGATCTCCATGAAGGTGATGTAGATAAAGGTTCCTGCAGAGAGCCCCTCCAGGACGGCCTGAATTAGAGCTCCAGATGAAAGCTGGGCCTCCATCACACAGATGCCAATGGCGATGCCTATCGGTGACATCATGGCGAATATCACGAGGTACGCAGCGATCCACACCGGGGGCACGGCGCTCTGGACCAGCTTCAGTGACAGGCTGAACACGATGATGCTCTTGTGGACGAGGATAGCAGCGCAGATTTCCAACACCTGCCAAACAGAGACCGTGTCTGATTAGTTACACCCTTTAGATCAGTGATGACGCACTAAAGGAAACGTATGGAGAGGTTTGGATGACAATAAAAACCTGGGTATCTGAGCCATGTCATCCATAATAACAGTACTACACATCCTGCGAGACAGCGTGATCAGGGAGACACGAAACATTTAATCATCATCACACTAGGGCTGGACAACAACTCAATATTGATATATATCATGATATGCTTTTATTCAATAACTGTGATATGAGTTTTTTGATATTTAAATATACATTACGATATGATTACAGTGTTTCACTGACGCATTTCTTTTTCTGTTCGGGTTGAAGCGGCCGCTTCAGTTTCAACCCCAACAGAAAAAGCCGCGGCACAACTACGTAAGTGCGTGGTACGTACACCACAGCTCCAAGGAGTTAGCGGCAGCAGGCTAAGCTCCAACGCGCGGTAAGTTTTTGCTTCAAAATGGAGTGTCCATGACCGTCAGAATGTGACTGAACAAGCTTTCACAAGCGAAGAGAAAGCAGATGACATCATCGATAAGAGGGGAAAGACTAATTTGGCGGTGTGGAAGTGGTTCGTCTGTTTAAGGTCGGATAAAGACACCCCAGCTGTTTCAAAAGACAAACATGGGTTAGGGTTATGTTGTTGTTTAAAGTTAAAACTATTAATATTAAGAAAGTTGAGAGTTTTAGGTTTATTTGATGATGATTTCAACATTTTTTTGAAGGCTAGATACAAACAAAAGGTGAACATTAATTTATTTGTATAGGTTGTACAGTTTTTCTGAGGCTTTTATATTTTTAACATCGATATCAGAATTATATTGTTATAGATCGTAATTAATAAATATATTGTGATAAAAGTTTTAGCCATATCGTACAGTCCTATGTCAAACTGATGATATTCATGGCCAGCTGGTTTACTGACTACAGTCTACATTGTAGCAAGACGAGATCTTTATTCAGTGCACGGACAGAATACTACATTTACAGCTGGTTTCATGTCAAAAACCAGGTCTCTTAACAAGGTTGTTAGAAAGGTTAAACATCTGTATGATACAGTAAAGCAGTACTGTAGTGGAAACAAAGACCCCTCACTGTGTTTGACTCAAATGTTTCAAACGTGTTTAAGGAGAAGTGCTACAATTTGTTTCCGTCATAATGTGCTAAACACTCTGTGTGTGATAGAAGTTGATCATTAATTACAATGAAGTTTAGAAACTTCTTGGTAAACATTCGAGCTCCGTGGCTTCAGCGATGTCTTCTTCTTGTTCAATCTGAAGCAGGCACTCTGATTTCGGTCAGCCGCGCTCAGTCTGCCCCTCCTCGGAGACCGGCAGACTGAACTGGGCACATTGGACGCAGCTGGCTGGGGTCGGGCTGCCTGCTACGGGTTCAGCAGGAGGAGCAGACCACTGAAGTCATGGAGCTCGAATGTCCAACATAAAACTAACTTTACCGCGGTTTAATGTGGCGCTATGGCTCTGCAGACATTGCACGTTGCTGTCTTGTTTTGTGGTGTTTCTAGTGTAAAATACTTCCACACAGCGGACATGTTTAGATGAAAAGTTGGTTAGCCGTTAGCCACAGTGCTGCTAACTCAGTCCTCACATTGTAGCTGGCTGCAAACTATGAACTGAATTTCCTGAATGTGAGGCGGGTCTTATTACTCTGGGTTCATGAGACGCGCCGCCGTTCAGGAAATCCATTCCATAGTTTGAAGCCAACGTGCATCATGGATCGGAAATCTCTGCAGGTTGGATCGGAAAAATCCGATACGGAAATTATGCTGGTATCGGAGGCCGATACAGATACTTGATCAGATCGGCCCCATCCCTAATCATTAGTAGCCACTTTTACCTATTACATGACAGAACGGCATGCCATACTACTCAAGTGCCATCTAGCGGCTGAAAATGGTAGTGTTCAATATTTTCAGTCAGAATTAATGAAAATGGTCATATCTCAGCCAAAAATTGGTTTATAAATATGGGGGGAAAAATCCATGAATACGTTGCTTCGGCATATAAAGTTGCAGAGCATGCAAATCATGCAAAAAAAACCCCCAAAAGAACGTGACGTGTAGGGCGAAAAATACGGTCGCCTGGACTCTCCTCTCAGCTGTTCGCAAACGTCTACGGAGCCACTATAGAGAGGATCCTCTGCCTCAGTGTTGCAGAGTGGTATGGTAGCTGCACAGAACTGGGCAAAAAGGACTTGACCCAGGCGGTGAGAACAGCACAAGGGATCGTGGGATGTACTCTTTCAGAACTGGTATATGCTGGCAGTGTCCAGAAGAGGGGCAGATCTAGTGCTGCTGATCCCTCCACCTGGCTAACAGGCTGTTTGTACCACTTCCTTTAGAAACCACCGATCCTTGAAATGCATAATGCACAAAGGCATGGAGGTGAGTACGCATGAGGCAAAACTCACAATAGGCTGGGACAGTTTCGGCTTGATTATGGTCAGCAGATCTGAATCATGTGACAGTATGGTTCATTTCCTCATGGTCCGTGCTGAAGCTCTGAAGTGAAAGTTTCCTTGAAATATATTAACATGCTGTAAAACACGATCCAAGCGCTCTGTCAAAGCAGAAGTTGTATAAAAGGTGAAAAAGGGGCTGTTAAAATGAAAGTAAGGAAACCAAACAAAAGACAAAAGCATAAGCTCAAGACGGCTTTTAACATCAGCTGAAGCGTCTTCTTACCTTGGAGTCGGTGCTCTGCAGGCCGATAGCAAGGCCCTCAAAAATCGAGTGGAGTGAGAGCGAGAGGAAGAGCATGAAGGAACGAAACGGCGAGTGGGCCTGGAAGTCCACGTGGACGTGGTGCCCGCTGCTCTCCAGATCGGCGTCCCTTACTGCACCGTGACTGTGCGGCACATGCCCGTTTCGAGCTTCGGTCAGAAGGGGCGCTCTCTCTTCACGAGAGCCTCTGATTTCCCGACAGTTCAGGACAATCTTCTCCAGTATGAGGACCATAAAGAAGCCAGCAGCCATGATGAACTCGGGCAGAGGAAAGCTGGACTGTTTTAAGACAAGATAGTTCAAATGCAGTTTGATGTAGTCACATTGCTCAAAACACGTTTTAAACATATAACAGAGAAAACATTCCAAGTAATCAAAGATAAAACGTTTTATCTTAATTCCAACTACTATGAGTCTGTCACTATAAAAAAAAAAAAAAATCCAATATGAAAATATTCACAATTTGTTTCCAGTTTATAAAATAAAATGATTTTTTTTTCATATCTTGATCAACATCTAAGAGATTTGGAGTGTAGGTTTGGTTAGATGAACATTTCTAAGAATAACTGATAACTGTAGTGAATAGTTCAAGACTAAATTGAAATAAATAAAAACAAATTGTGCCAATAGTTGCATTTCCCCCTCGGACGTACCTCCACTTTCTGAGAACTGAGTTCCGTGCTGATGTCCGACAGATAATCTGGAATGATGTCGAGCAAACATGCTGACAGAAAAACCCCGCCAGCGAAGCAGCTGATCAGACTCAACACTTGGCGATGGGACTCTGCAGATGGAAAGACAAAAGTTCATCTTCAGGATGAGCTTAAACACACATTGGTTTGGGTTTATCAATCTCTGAGCAGATAAAATGTGCTGACAACATTGTGGTCAATAATTATTTCGTGTCGGTCATTTCTGCATTTTTAACTCAAGGATCAGCCATTTTTAAAGCCAACATGAAATGGAATTAATCCATCGATGAAGTTATTTTTCATGTCTGCTAGTATTTGATGCTTTTAGCTCACACCTTATGGTTTCAGTTTCCACTTCAGTGTTTTTCTTGTGTTATTTATTTTTCCACCAACTTGGGACAAGAAAAACACATACAATTCTGAGTATTTTAAATATAGCCTACAGAAGCTGGAATGACAAAGTACTTCAACTTGATTGGGGGAAGGGGAAATCTATGGCAAATCAGGATGAAATGGAAGAATTATTGTTTCATCTCAGACATTTTCCTAAATATTGTAACAACTTTAGCATCATCAGAACCACACCTCTTCTTGTTTGTTTAAAGATGAAATTTAATGTATACTCATGTGTTAGAGGGGTCTGAGCTTCGGGCTTCCCCCTCATCAGGTGACTCCAGTCAGGCTCCACGATTATTAACTAAAACTTTAAAATTATTAAAAGTATAAATAATACAGCGCAGGTCTTTTAAAGCAGTGCCGAACTTGGGAAAGACACGTGAAAAAGTCAATAGTGAACTTCCAAAAGGCGTTTTGATAAGGAAGTTGTTTGACAACTAATGCAAGTTTAAACAATGACATTCTGTTATGGAACACGGTCTCTCTTCCCGTTAGTGCCAGGAACAAGCATATCCTCATGGTTGATCAGGAACAATCGATAAGTACGAAAGTAGATCATTGCTTGAACATTATCGGACAGAAAACACGTGACTCACTGTACACACTGGAGAATAAAATAATAAAATGGCATCGAAATGCTGCAAGTTCGTTGACTTTGGGCGCAGCACCAGTCTTTGTTCAGATTTCGTTCAAATAAAGGTTAGCTTGCTTATTTGCTACAGAAGCGCACTGTGAGAAAAAAAGAACAGGAGAACAGCATTTGTCACCACAGCCCCTGTCGATCGGCTTTACTGTTGTAAAGCAACAAATAATCGAATGACGATAAAATTGTGTTTTGTTTGATAATGCGCGCGCGGTTTAGCTGAGATTCTAACGTCTCTTATTCGACACGAAAAATGCAAGTCGCATTAAAAACACAAACAAAACAGGTAGTAAAAAGTACTTGTTTGCCTGTCACACGAGCATATAGTCTGTACCGACCTGTCCCGATATCTTGGAACCACTTGAGCCGAGCAGGGATCAACCCGAACAGAAGAGTGAGGAGCAGCAAACCGATCAAAACGCCGATTTTCACCTGAAGCAGGTGATCCATTTTAGATGTAAACTGTCAGTAAAACAGTGTCGGTCTGTAGACTAACTATACAAACACTGGAGCAACGATGGAGTCTGTGTCAGAGCACGACACAAGCCGGTGTAACACCCGTTATGATGAGAAACATCTGAAACGAAAAGTCTTCGCATGATGTTTTTATCTGCCGCAGAGCTTGGCTCCCGCTACGGTGGCCGACAAGGGTGAAACAACAGTACAAAAAAGTCGTTTCAGAAAAGCAGAACCAGGATCTTTAAACCAAAGTTGTTGGGTTGAATGTATAAGTTTGTTTCGGATGACTGTTTTGAGTCACGCACTTTTCATGCTCATAAAAAAACATTTCCTTAATATTTTTGGTGGCTGAAGACATTTATGTTTTTGTCCAATAAGCTCATGAATCATCTTAACGTAAGGCTTTGATTTTAAGTTATTTATTAGTTGTAACTTTTTATGCTCCGCATTTAATATCTCTTTTACAGTTTTAATTAATTCAGTGTTTGGCTCTTAATGCCATTGTTTTAATTATTTGTGGCATGAACATGCACTCCCCTATGACCCCTGACCCTTGGGTCAGACTCACCATGAATCGTTTTCTTTAACGTCACTTTAAACTTGAATCATGTCTGTTTTCACACATTCACTGTCTTTGGACTCAGTCAGCAACAGTCTGACTAATGGTTACCCTTTTCTTTTATGTTTTTATAAAGATGAAGGTTAAATCATGTCAGCTGGACCAGTTTCATTACGGGAGTTCAACATTTTGTCTTCCATCCGGACGACTTCATCTTCACTTTTTTCTGAACCATTTTGGCCTTGGTGTCCTCAGGTTCCCGTTTCTGTGAGTAGCAAGTCGGCCATCTGGCCTAAAACATTTGATTGTTATGCATGATGATTGATTGTTTTGGACAGATGAGTCCTCTTGCACGTGTTAAAAGCCTGCTTCCAACAGGAGGGTGGCTTGAAACACAGCAGTGAAGGCTACTTATGAGACAGATCTGGTTGGCCAGCCACAGACTGATGAAGTCTTCAGGATGGAAGACAAAACGTTTTTCCCTTAAAGAAACTGATCAAGATGAAATGATTTAACCTTCTTTTGTTGTCTACCTGGATGATTGAGCCTACAAACCTTTTATAAAGAACAAAACGAAACCGGTAACGGAGTTTGTTTTATTTGATTATGACAGGTGTGAACATGAATAATGCTGATTATTGTTTTCAACTATTTTAATAAAATCATGTGAAATATTATGTGTTTTAACATACTTCTCTGTTCAGAATTTTTTTTTTCCTTCAGAAACTTGTGTATAAGTGTTTTTGAGCTGGAATCTGTTTTACATCAGAACAGAATCACAATATTTGAGTTCTTTAAAACACTTCTGAGAGCTGAGAGTTCACACAGTCACTTTGTGCGACACTTTCAGTTCGAGTTTTCTCACCCTGGTGTGTTTAATGTCTGTCTTTGTTTAATCCTGAGCAAAGAAAGAAACTGGTTTGCTCAGTTACCATTTCTGTCAGAAACAAATTAGAGTTCCAGTAACTACTGAAGATGAAACTTTGTTTTTATCACTGCAAGACTCGTGGTTTCATCTTAAAGTGTAAGCTGGCTGAAGGTTGCTGAAGGCCCGCACACCTTTACATCCTCACCGACCCCTGAAGCTGTCACAGTGACTTTCAGCTACCTTGGGCAGTTCCAGGCTAGTCCTCTCCTCGTGGTCTATCCTGGTCTGATCCACTAGCAAAACCCCGGAAAGATGAGAGAACCCAGACCTCAAACTGACCCGGTGAGGAGATGAGACCTGCTGACATGATGCAACTTTGGGTCTGGTTATGCCATTTTAGCTGCTGCAAATTGATCAATTATTTTCAGACTTGCAGTGAAAACAAATGACTTGATCTAGTCAAACTGAAGAACGTTGCTCGACCAAACTCCAGATTAAACTCTAAAAAAGTTAAATCTGGTCCTCTGGACATTAAAAAAAAACAAAGCAAATCAACAAAAAAATGTAGAAACGTTTCGTCTCTCATCCGAGAGACTTCCTCAGTCTGAGG